GACTAAAATAATTGCATCCTCAATTCTTAGAAATAGAAGATAATCTGTGGGGCATTTGATTTTGAAGTCACTGTTAATAGAGAGATCTATTTTCTGCATGATGGTCTTGGCCCTTTACCTAAAGATACTCTAGCAACTCCATGGAGAAGCGTTGGTGTTGAAGACTATAAGTACAAGGCGCTCTCTGGTTATAAGGGCATCACATTGCTGAAAGACTAGCCCATCTTGATTTAGAGCGATGGAACTGTTGACTCCAATTACGGAGGGGAAAAGCTTGTTAGTATCAGTGCCGGTATCGATGGTTCTCTGTGGGCTTTAAAGCAAGAGGAAAATGTAATAAACTATCAAGTCCTCAAATGGCAAACAGGAGCATAAAAGTGGTACATAGTTCCATGCGTTAGGGGAGTCAGTCTCTCTGTTTACAATGAAATCTCAGTAGCTATAGTTGATGAGAAAGGTCTACTTAGTCTTTCATCTTCGGTAGGACATCAAGATGAGGCATAATATATTGGTATAGTGACTGCAGCAGCCACTTCTACTGCTCCTACATAATAGTAAACTACAAATATTCCAGCAACTACTGTAGCTCCAACTACAACAGATATTCCTACTCCTACAGTTGCTCCAACTACTACAGATATTCCTACTCCTACAGTTGCTCCAACAACTAATATACCTCCAGCAATTGTATCAACCTCTCCACCACAATTTCCAGAGATTATAGGTTAGCCAGCAGACTCATTCGTTTCTTAAAATGCATTTAAGCAATTTGCTGAAGCAGTAAACTAAGCTTTTGGTAAAAACATAAAGTCTTTTACTCAAGTCTTTTATTCTAAAAAGAATTAAAACTATCGGATGGATGCTATGAAATCCATAATTTTTAAGAAGAACATCTTTGGATTCATCAAAACAAACACTGGTTCAATTCTAGGATTCTATTACGAAGGTCCGATATATTATACTTCTGAATCAGTGGGAAGAGTAAATACAAATACTATGATTTATGGAATCTCAAGCGATCATTTCTCCAAAAAAGAGCTTGGTGATAACTTCGTAACATATTTTGGACCATTTGAGAGCAATACAGCTATGCAAATCATCACAACCCCTAGAGCAAGACTAGCATTTTACCCATCATGCATTAATTATCGTAGTGGGACGAGTAATCAAGCTTAGTGCTATAGTGATTCTAATTTCGAATAACAAGAATATTGCTATTGGACACTCTTAAAACCCGAAAATAGTAATGCTGATTTTGAATGTGAACAAATAGAGTATTATCAAGCCAATTTGCAATGAGAGCTTCATTAATCGGATCTCTTCTCAATTAAAGAAATTCAATTAATATGACTTTGAAACATTGATTGATATATAATTAATCTAAATGATCATTTAATTAATTTAAATTCATAATTTCCT